GGACACCAGAGGACCCTTTTGGAAGGGAGAGGATAATTTCTGGAGGATTGAGGGGTTCTCCCCTTCCCTGGCATATGCTTTCTCTTCCACAGGAACTACAGATAATAATAATAATACAAATAACAATAATTAAAATTATTTTTGCCCATTTTATTAAATCCTTTTCTTCTCTTTGGTTTCCTGGAAACCTGGTGCTTGATGTTTGTGGATTTTCACAGCATATTTGTTTAAGGCATGTGACTATACTGACTATGAATTCAATTTTGTTGGGCATTAGCCAATGCTTTAAATTAAACTTCTCACTGGGAAAAAAATCCAAGTTGAAAGCCTTATAAAGATTGCTGTTTCATGATTAATGAATGTGTCTTATGAAGAAGCTCTTCTTGATGAAGACGAGTAAGTAGAACTTCATAGAAAAAAGAAAACAGAAATAAATGACCAAGAGAGCAAAGCTTCAAGCTTTTTCTTCATTATGATTTCCAGACAGTATCACACAGAAGCACTAGATTGTAAATTCTGAGAGTGTAAATATTTATTAATTTTCTACCCACTGTGCTGATATTCAGTTGGTATTAGTAGGGATTTCCACAACTTTATGCAGCAGTAATATTACTATTACTATTAGTAATTAGCAATTACTATTAGTAATAATTTAAGATTTTTTCTTATATTTATCTGTAATAAGCAGTTCACTTAAAGAGCATTGAGTGTGAAGTAAAATGTTTTGGGTTTGGGTAAAATTCAACCATACATACACCATATCAGCACTACCTGCTGGATCAAAGCTAGTAACAATGAGAGTTGGTCAGTGTTTTATGTTTGTAAAGATAAACCCACCCTAAATTATTATAGGGAACTATTGCTTTGTGAAAATAGGTGTCTGTCAGCAACAGGCAAAATAATCACAAAATTTTTGTTTTGGTTTAGGATAATTTCATTTTCTTTCAGGATAGAATCTTTGTTACAAAAGGCCAAGGTAAAATTTGTGCAAGCCCATTTACCTTCTCATGGACTGTGATATCAAAAATAAAGTGCTTGAAGTTGACTGGTTGAATGGAGAATGTTGAATGGAGAATTTGCTAGTCTGTGGAAGAAGTTTGGTTGTAATAAATTTTCTTTCTGTTACTAAGGAAAAAGAGGGTAATTTTTAGACTGAATTCTGGTTACAGAACTTGTTCTGATGAAATGTATCTCATTAAAAAGAGAACTGAAATTAATGCCTGTAAATTTTTACAGGAAAGGAGAATCACAGTAAATAAAGTAACTGTTCTGTTTCAAACGCACTCTCAAATCGAAATTAATTTTATATACACAACAAAGAAAAGTGGATATTTAATCAGCTAGATCCTTTCACATTCCCTGTTGTATAGTTTCAGTGAGCATTAAGTTATTACAAACATAGTGAGTAAATTTAGAGTGGGGTCATGTTTTTGTATATTTTAAAGTTTCCTTTTAATTAAAACATTGTTTATATAAATTGTAAGTGATAAATCTGTTTTGTAAACAGTTCTATTTTTACATTTAAATTTCATATAAATTCCTGATTTCAATGTTCTCATTAGTTTTTTTTTTTGTTTGTTTGTCTTTTCTGTGATAAAACTTTTACTTACATACCTCACAAACATGTTTTAAAGATTTTGTCTGCTGACAAAATATGAGAAGAGGCTAGGAGAACTTGGTTTGTTTATTATACAGATGAAAAGGCAAAGGGGATCACACTGCAGTCTTTCATTGCCTGTGGGGAAAGCCATAGAGAAGACAGAGTCAAACCATTTTCAGAAATGCTCAGCAAAAGGACATGAGACAAAGGTCATAATTGCTTTGACCAGACAAGAGGAAGAAATTCTTCATGGTGAGAGAAGATCAGTGCTGGAAGAGACCACCCAGAAAGACTGGGGAACCTCCATCCCAGTGGATTTTCAAAGTTGATGGGGCAAACCCATTGGCAACCTGATCAGAGTTTGCAATTAGGTCTGCTCTGAGTGGGGTATAGGACTGGGTGACTCCCAGGGGTCCTCTCCAAACGAAATTTTCCTAATCTTCTATGAAAGAGTACTTTAAATAATGGCCATCTGATTTTTTAATGAAGAAAAGTCAATCTCCAGAACACTTAACAGATAGTACTTTCCATTAGAGTTAGTACAGCTGTGGGAATTGACATGATGCATACCAGTTTTTGAAGTTCTAAGTTTATTTCTCTGCAGAGTTTACATGGCCAAATCTTCCTTTAGATGCTGAGTTATGTTGCTAGATTGTTTTTAGGATTAACAGTTGGGGTAAGACATTGGGTACATTCAAAGCTCTCACAGTCATTGTATTTCCTTCTGGACTCTTTTCCAATGTATACCACATACAGTCAAATAATTGCAACATTTTACACACAAGTATAAATAGCTCTATTTACCTGAACTAATAGCCTGGTTCTGCAAACATTTGCCATTGTGTATGAGGAGTTCTAGTGGTTTATTCACCTTGTGCCCTAGTGGAAACCCTAGAGAAATATTTTAGAGTCTAGCTCTCCTCTTTTAAAAAAATCCACAGAACTATCAAATAAGTGAGTGCATGACTCAAAACACTGAACAGTAGTCAGGTATCCAGAGAAAATGCCCATGCTTCTTCCTTAATGCGTGAAAAATCAAATAAATCTTGAATGTAGAAAAAATAAATAACCCTAAGTGTCCCTGAATAATTTCACTGCAGTTAATAAAAAGCACATAAAGGACTTCTTCAAAATGAGTTTGCTATTATCAATCAAAACATGCCTCCATCTGCTCTGCCACTTTTTGACCTTCCTTCTTTACTCTTGAATCACCTTGCCAACATATTGACTACCCTACCCCCTATTTGGTGTTGTCTGGGAACTCCCTGAGTATGTATTCCACCTTGGCACTGGGAGCACCAAGTGACAATGATGAACATTGCTGGCACTAGTATCAACACTGAGGAACATTCTCTCTAACTACCCACCCAAATCTGATGTAAGTCCTCACAAAGACTTGTCCTAGATTTCTCTGTGGGGTTGAGGTGAGGTAGACCAGTCTTTTGTTTCCTGGATTTCTGATTGTCTTTCTTGTTTTCTATTGTTGTTTATTTTTGTGTTTCAAAGTTCCATAAAACTTTACTGTATTTGCTGAAAGGAGACTTAATTTTTGTGAACCCAAAATCAGTGCCAAACACCAGAGAGGCTGACAATGTTGTGACCTTGCCAGCCTCCACAGTCCCATGGGAACCCACCACTTCTCCTGCAGCCCCATCAGAAGGGTCTTACCCTTTCACCAAGCACATCCGAATCATAACATTTGCAATATCTTAAAAACCTTTCAAGACCCTTCCAGAATGCACACATAAAGATGATATAATTCAGTATGTATTGTCAATAAGACTGATTAATAGGGCCTGCATCAGTCAGATTTCCTGCCTCTCATAACATCAGTTCCAGCTCCAGATCACAGAACCTTCTTGCTAGTTTTGCTGGTGCTGTCAGTCTTTCATCAGGTCTGTGAAGAGAAGATAATTGCTGCATCAATCTGTCTGTGGGCTAGAAGAGAGTTTGACATATTATGTGGTCTGGAAGGAAAATAAGATTCAGGGGGAAAAAAAGAAAAAAAAGAAGATGGAGGAGTTTTTAAAAGGAGTAAAATGCTCTTCCTCCTTTTCTCCCTCTTTAGCAGACGACCCTGTGATCCCTAGGCTTTATACCCAGAGGCTGCATTTAACCGCTGGTAAGTAGCTAACCTTTCCAAAACACCTTGCAGCGCAATGCTTGCTGTGAGAACGCCGCTGTGCTGCGCAATCATGTGGCGAGCTACATGAAGCCCGGGGACAAATGTGCGCCTAACTCTGCTAAAAAAAAATCCTCCAGGAAACCCGTTCCGAATAACGCTCTCCGCCAAATTACAAAATTGGAGGAGGGATGCGCCTCCTCCGGCACCTCTGTGCTGCGGAAGGCTGCTGGGTGCCCCACCGCCTGTCCCCAGCTCCCCTCAGCCGGCATGAGGAGGGATCTTCGAAGAAAAACAAGTTTCAAGCAGTTTAAAATGAAAATGGCAGGGGTCCTGCCCTCAGCCCCTGACGACTGGCGAGGGGAGCCGCGGGCGGCGGCGGGGCCGGGCCGGGCCGGGCCTGCGGCGCTTCCCTCGGCGGCCCGGTGGGGGCGCTGCGAGCCCGGCGTTCGCGGGCCGCGCGCGGCGCCTCAGCGGCCCCGGGCGGCCCCGGCGGCGCGGGGGGAGCGGGCCCGGCGCCTCCCGCCTGCTCGCACCGCTCCCCGGGCAGCGCCGCTCGCCGGGACAGCGCTGCTCTGCGCCCCTCCGACCCACGAAGGGTCCCCCTTCCACCGCAAAGGGCTCGCTGCCCCGCGGGGCAGCCGGCGCCGCCGTCTGTCCGGCTGTCGCAAGGGCGCTGGGGGCAGCTCCCCCTCGGCGTTCCCGTGCCGCAGGCAATACGGGGCGGGCAAGCCCGGCCGAGAGCCCGCGGAGCCGCGGCAGCCCCGAGCCGCTGCCCTGCCAGGCTGCCTTGCCTCCCGGGCCGGCTGCACCCGGCGGGTCGGGCAGGGCAGGCGAGCGGCAGAGACCGCGGGCAGCCGGCAGGGAAAGTTGGAAAGGCCTGGGGGAGAGCCGGGGCAGGGGGCTGGCAGCGGGGCGGCGGGCGCGGAGGAGGAGCGGGGAGAAGCCGCACCGGGAGGAGCCGGAGGAGATCTGCGGGCGGCGCATCAGCCGCCTCCAGGGTAGAGGAGAGGGAGGACCCGGGCGGGGAGCACCGCTCCGGGTACCGGTGGTGGGGAAGGGAGAGATCCAGCGGCATCCGGGGAAGGCGGGGGCAGCGCCGGTGACCTGCCGCAGATCGGCTCATCCGCCGCCGCCGCCGGAGGATGCACGGAGCGCCGGCCGCCCGCACGGCCCCGCCGCCGCCGCCTCCTGCCCAGGGCGGCTGCGGACAGCGGCGGAGGCGCCAGCAGAGATAGGGGAAAGAACGCGGGGAAAGTTGTGCGGGTCGGGCGTAGGGCTGCGTGCCCCGCTGGGGCAGGAGGGCACCGCCGGCATCAGCGCGGAGAAAGTGGAGCTGGAAAGCAGTTTCTGGTCTCGCTGCCAGCGAAGCGCATTTAACCAGCATTACGGGGATGAAGGGAAACTGGGAAAGTAACTCGGAAAAGTGAGTGGGATTTTTTTTTTTTTCCTTCCCTCTGTTTTGCTCCTAATCCGAAAAGAGCCGTTTAAAAGGAAAGCAAAAGCCGCCGTGTGCGCCCGCTGCTGGGAGAGGCGCGGGAGAGGAGCGCACTGCACACCGGCACCCCTGCCCACGCTGGGCGAGGGTGCGGGATCCTCTCCCCCGACACCATCGTGTACCAAAGCAGCTACTTATAGTAAACAGATTCATCATACGACAGAGCGCAGGAAGGTGAGACAGAAGCAGAAACAGAAACTAACACTGAAAGGAAGAAAGAAAAAAAAAGACAGCGACTGCGAATTACTTCCAGAGAAAGTGGGTGGATGTTGTGCAGCAGCGACCTGGGAGTTTAGGGGATGCACCCTTATATTTTGCTTCTCTCCAGTCCGAGCCTCCCTTCTCCGGTGGCAGAAAGCGGCTGTACTCGGTACAAGAGGAGGAATAAGCAGGAGGGGTTCGGTCAGCAGTGCTTGCGGTGCCCCTACTGATCTGCTTTAAGGATTTTTTTTTCCTTTTCCTGGTGGATGTTTTCTTGACCTTGATTTTGAGACCTTTTACTTGCATCGCAGTTTTTGTGGCTTTATGTCCTTTGGCGAAAAGTGGAAAGGGGAAGGCTGGCTTCAGTGCTGAAAGTTGCAATCGTTATTATTTTGGAGCCAGCATGTGCACCAACATAGTCTACGAGTGGCTGAAGACCCTGCAGCTCCCCCAGTACGCGGAGTCCTTCGTCGATAATGGCTACGACGACCTGGAGGTCTGCAAGCAGATCGGCGACCCGGACCTGGATGCCATCGGCGTGGCCGTGCCCCACCACCGCCGCCGGATCCACGAAGCCGTGCGGCGGCTGAAGGAGGCGGACGAGAGGGCGGCGGGGCTCTACTTCACCCTGGAGCCGCCGCCGCCGCCGCCCGCCCCCACCGGGCGCTGTCCCCGCCGGGCGGGGGGGCCCGAGGAGCCGCGGCGGGGGGCGGCCCCCAGGGCCCGGCCCGGCGGGCGGCGGGGGGCGGCGGGCGGCGCGGGGCTGGTCGCGTACCCCAGGCTGAAGCTGAAGATCATGATCCGGGACAAGCTCGTCCGCGACGGCATCAACCTGAGTAAGCCGCCCTACTCCAACAAGGTAAGGGGGTCCCCGCCGGCCGCCCCCCCAGCGGGAGCCGTGGCTGTCGGGAGTAGCGGGGCGGCTGGGCTGGAGATGGGGGTCCAGCAGGGCCCGGTCCCGCCTCTGCCATGCGCCCGTGCTAAGTTTCTCCAGTTGTGCCACTGGTGTTTTGGAGGGGATTTGGTAAGGATTGAGCACCAGCAAGGTGCGAAGAGTAGTGGGGCTAACAAAGGTCAGATCCACCGTCACGTTCTGGCACTGGTGGTATGGTGTGGTGCTGTGTTTAGGTTTTGCCTCCCTTTCTGTTCATTAACTGTTCCTATTAGTCTGGTTTAGTTTGAGGTGAGAAAGTGGAAATTGACAGGATGGTCTTAATGGTTTGGGCGTTTCTTTGTCTTTTCTGAGAAACTTTTCCATTGTGTTCAAGAGGGATGTCTTCTCTCATCTTTTGCTAGTGGTCCTGTTTTAGTCAGTTTCTGTTGGTGAAATGGCTAGCGAAATAAATGATCATCTGGCTGGAGGAGGAACTCCAGCAGCTGAATCCAACTGTTGCCTGGATTTATTTGCTGGAATATGGTAGTGACTGGTGAATGTCAAAACTACTCATCAGGCTCCAGCACAGGTCAGCCAGTCTCCAGGATGCAGTCTGCTGAAAGGCCAGAAAAGGGTACATCTCAGTAGAGTCCATTCCAGGCTGATGAAGCCTCAATGTTTACCTAATTCTTATCTTTTGAAAAGGTGTAATGCAAGATTCATCAGTTTTGGAAGTTTGAAATTGTTTTGTCTGAAATTTTTGGTAGATTTCCTGCTGAAAATGTAATAAGCAGAATAAGTAAAACAACAGAATAAAATTAATAATACTGTAGAGAAGAAAATTATTTGTGAAAGAAACAAAGGTATTATAATGTATGGGGGTTTAAGAGTTCAGGATGAAGTGCTTCAGAGTAGTTTGATGACCCAAGTTGCCTATATTTTCTTCAATGATTTGAAGTGTCATTTTTCAGAAAGACTGAGCAGTTGATGTTGACCTTCAACTTGTGGGTACTTTGTCTCTCTGAAATGCTTATGAATGTATGGAGGCAAGTTGATGGGGAGGGCTGCGAGTCTGGGGTTACAGAAATCTGAGGAATTAAAATTTAGAATGTGTTATCTGCTGTCATGGACATGGCTGTGAGGATAATGGGTAAAATTCAATTTGGATAACATTGTGAAGGTGCAGATAATAAAACTACAAATTTCAGTATTTCCAATTTTTTAACATCTTGGTGACAGAGGCCCATAGTCTCTTCTCAAGTACAGCACAGTTGTCTGGTTTGGGATGTTTATTTGTTCCCTTTTTCTGAGCTTCTGGCTGAGGATATGGTAAAAGACATTATGTTAGATTTAACACTCATGAACATAAGTACATCATCTTCCAAAAGTTACTGTGTCATTTTGCAGAGATTCTTTTCCCTCCAGGGTTTGGAGTAACACATCATTAGATTGAAATTACCATTACACATTTGATATAAAAGAAATTCCATGGAAGTTATGGCTTGTCAGTGTAGCTGCACCACATTACCACCTCCACAGCTGTGTTTCACTTCTTCCATTTGACTTTGTGTGTGTTCTTAGTCAACAGTTCAGTCTTTCCAAGTGGATCATCTGCCTTCTCTCTGTGGTATTTTAAAGTTGTGTAGAAGTGGCTCTTTGGGACAAGGTTTGGTGGCAGACTTGGCAGTGCAGGGTAAGGGTGGACTCAGTGGTCTTACCGGTCTTTTCCAATTTAAATGATTCTTTGATACTTTTCCACAGGAATTGTAAAATTTGTAAGATGCCAGCATATGACATCAAGGCGGTTCAAATCCTTGGCATTGATTTCTTCTTTAGCTCACTTTATTTTAATTTGATGAGTCTGATAACAATGTGGATTAACTGTCAGGACAAGCTTGACTTACACAGAAAACATCACTTAACTTTAATTTTTTAAAATCTAAATGTCATATTTTGAAATACAAAGAGAAACAAAGTTTATTTTCCTAGTTTGTTTTTTTTTCAGGCTGAGGTGTCAATGTATTTATTTTGGATAATAAATGCATATAACATTTTTTACAGTAATAGAAAAATCTTTTCTCTGTGTGAATCACTTCACATTGTAGCACGTTGTAAGAAAGCATAAAGCTGGCAAGATTTGAATGTGTGTTGCTCAACATGCATTATTCTGAATGCCACCCACTGTAGCAATCTATCTCCAAAATGGCTTAAAGTAAATAGCAGAAGATCACGTCACTGTACATTATTCATTGGATGTTGTTTAGAGCAAGAAAGATGAAATACTGTATTTTTGCATTTGGGAAAGAGCCATATTATAGCAGTGTCTTAAAAAAACCCCAACAAAACCTAAAAAGGCCAACAAAGCCGAACTTTAGAAAATTGTGTGTATAATTTAAGCATTAGAGTTTTATATAGAACATACAGCATATGTAGAATATACAGGCTTCTGCATGTCAAGAGAAATTGAATGTATTTTCTGCAGCACACAGGACTGAAGAATCAACTTGAAGTTAATGTCATGGTTTTTTTGTATACATTTACTAGTCATCCTTGTCATGTGGACATTCTGGAGTGAGGCACTAGACCACTATTTGACAACTATTTGCATTTCTGGTTGTGCTGAGCTGCATACTAGTTTTCCACTTCCATGGCTTACATGGAGAATGCCATCTTTTCTTCTTAATATCTATGCATAGAACTTAGTGTCTCTGAAAGGAGGACCCTGCTGGTGTGTATATGTGTGTACATGTACATATGTATATGCATTTGTTTCCTGAGGAGTACTTCTTGGACTCAGTTAAGAAGTTCTCAAGCAAGATTTGGTGGTTTATTTTAAAACATACCTGAGAACTCGAAGTGTTGGTCCTCTGGCTTCTTCAGAGTCTTTTGCTAGCTGGCTGGGCTGTAAACATGTCAAAAGATCAAAAATTAATATTGTATGTAGCTGTGGAGATGTTAAAATCATCCTTTTGCTGTCTTTCCTTTTTGCTGTAGTTTCAGATGAAAGATGGAACAACAGAGTTGGCAAAATAGAAATCTATTGCTATGGTAAAATTTAGTTTAACTTAGTTTGATTTCAGTCAGCAGAAATGGCTAACAGCTACTTTGCAGAGCTTAATATAAATCCCTTAAAATTGGAATTGAAGCCATGTGTGTGGGTGACTTCAGACAGAGAGAATTATCATAAGCCATCTTGATTATTTCCATGGAGAATTTGTATGAGGCCTCACCTCCTTATATTGTATCCTATGTATATTTCAGGTAAACCAAGGAACATAACTGTAACTGAGGAAAGCTGCAAAGGAGTCAGATTTTGTTCCATGTTTGTAATGCTCCATAGTACTCAAAGCTTTATGTTTTAGTTTTTTCACAAAGCTTGCTATAGCTGGCTGGTAGCCTTAGGAGTCTCCCATGTCTAAGAAACTTCTGGAGGTGATGGGATTCAATGCCCTTCAAAAAAGAACCCATGACCAAGTGAAACTTTTTGTCATCTTGAAACATCTAGCTGCTCAAAAAAATTATCTTTGATGGTTATAATTCTGTCTTTAATTAGAAAGTTAATTATGCACAATGTAGAAAGACTTTTAACAGTCTTTTACCCCTGGAAGTTTTGGGAAATGAATTGATGGCAGAAGGAAACCAAAATGAGCATACCCCCTGCATTACAGTGAAGGTGAATGTAGGAAAACACAGCACTGATCTGAACCAAGGGGATCTGAAAAGTATAGCCATCAACTTCACACAAAAACACTTTTTTCTTTGGTAGGCTTATTCCAAAATGGATAATGTCCATGCTGGGTTTGCGAAGAAGTCACTAAATGTCACTGTGGAAGAGAGAGCAGAGGAGCATTCAATTCTGTCAATAAAAAGACAAGTAGGATACCTTGTTGTGGAACATGCCAAGAGAAATTTACTACTCTATTTATCTTGAATGTAGATTAAGTGACATTTAATAGTTTACTGTAATTTCATTATTATTTCTAATTGAAATAAATGGCCTGACCTCTTTCTTGAAGAACTTTGTTCAATTTTTCATCTGCATGGAATTGCAAGTACATTAAAAACATACATGCATTAAATCTCCCACACCAATTAAGATTATTTGCTTAGCCTCAGTAAAGTTATAGTCATGGAGATTTCCGTATTTATTAGAGAGAATAAAACTGTAATATGACATATGTACATGTATGTGACCTCATTGTCACTCACTGTGCTCTTCATGATTATGCTTGGAAAACAAACACTAAAAATTCAGATGCATGAGATCATAATCTCAAGAGTTCAAGCAGATGTAGAAAAGTAAAATGTCAGATCCAAATGAGTATCTGCTTAAACACCCAAACACGTTCTTTTTAAGTTATGTGCTGATAATATAGCACAGATTTGTGGTTCTGATTAAGACTTTGTTTAATCCTTGCCACTACAAAATGAGGAATATTTCACAAAAGTTAAGTTTCAAGAGGTAAAGAAGCCAGCAATTCTACTTTGAAATACACTGTTCAAGCTGGGGCTGGGATAATGTAATCAGTACTTTAGATATCTACAGAAGTGAATTCAGCAAATTAAAAATATTGTGCTTTGAAGAAATGACAACACTCACCTGTACTGGAATTAAACATGAACCTTTTTCTAAAGACCTGGCTGCTTTAGAATAACTGCATCAACTCTGATTAGCAGAGCGTTCTCAAATATGCCTTGGGGAAAGCTGCCTATTGACAGAAGTACTAGTGCATTAAGTAGTAACAATATTTTCATGGCAATAAATTAGCAAAGCTACAGGCAATGTTCATGAAGTGAAAAGGCATATTATATAAGATACCATGGAATTTGCCTTTGACTTCACAACTCTGTTTTCTTTTAAAGAAAACTTAGCACCTCATATATTTGGCAGCTGTTTCAAAGTCCCGGTTTATTAAACTCACCAAACACAAACTGGAAAAGATCTTCCAATCAGCCCATCAAAGCAAAATGTTGCAGAATGTGAA